TATAACGCTAGATGTGAAAAACGCATTTAACACTGCGAGCTGGCAGCACATAATGGAAACCCTAATCAAAATGGAGGCCCCGAATTACATTATCAGAATAATTAGGTGCTATCTCTCCGAACGGGAACTAAAGTACCGGAGCGACAGAGGAATAGAGGCGTACAGTGTTTCCGCGGGGGTACCCCAAGGATCCGTTCTCGGGCCTCTCCTGTGGAACTTAATGTACGACGAGGTTCTATGCATCGATTTGCCTCCTCGGACAAAAATAATAGGATTCGCAGACGACATAGCTGTAGTAATAGTAGCGAAGCATATACAGGATATTGAAAGGAAAGCCAGCGAAGCTATAAAGAGAGTGAAGGCATGGCTATCATCAAGATATCTAGAACTCGCTGATCACAAAACAGAGGCAGTATTGATAAGTAGCAGAAAGGCCATAGAGACAATAAGACTCAGTGTTGGATCAGAAACTATAATATCAAAGCCCGCAATCAAATATTTGGGGGTAATGATTGATGGCCGTTTAAACTTTAAGGTCCACCTGGAGTATGCAGCAAAGAAAACATCGAATTTACAGCAGTGTCCGCCAAAAAGAGAAGTCTTAAAATGAGAATGTATTAGTTATGAAATAAAAAATGAGAATGTGTTGGTGGTAATGCACGGAAATGCGTCATCAACCTGCTTCGCCTATTGTTTGCATGCAACTAAATAAAATTTGTTGCTCTGCTACTCTTTCTGTTGACGTTCGGATTGTGTACGTGTAAGAAGCCGATTGTGTACATGTGAAAGGCCGAATATAGTTCGTTTCCCAGAAAAGTGTTTGGCGGGCACTGATTTACAGGCATGCTTATCTAGAATGATGCCAAATATCGGCGGTCCCAAACATAGTAGAAGGGTATTGTTTAGTAGAGTGGTCAGCTCAGTCTTACTCTACGGTGCTCCAATTTGGGCTGAAGAAATGAGCCTAAAATATCATGCGAAGATACTCACATCTGTGTATCGCCTAAGCGCACTAAGGACTATTTGTGGATTCCGAACCATATCTGACGAAGCATCCTTCGTAATTGCCGGACTGATTCCCGTAGATATCCTGGCAAAAGAGATGCAAAGAGTGTATAAGCGGGTATCTGCAGGAAGTACCAGTTTAAACCGAAAAGAAGTTATAGAGCAGGAAAGGTGTCGCTCTATGGAGATCTGGCAAAAGCGTTGGGATGAATCGGAAAAGGGTAGGTGGACTCATAAGCTTATTCCATGCATTAAAAACTGGCTGGAAAGAGCCCACGGAGATTCAAACTACTACTTGACACAGTTTCTTTCGGGACATGGCCCCTACCGAGAGTATCTAAAAAGATTTGGGCATGGAGATTCCCCACACTGTCCGACTTGCACAGGCCTTGCTGAAAACGCTGAACACATAGTATTCTTTTGCCCTCGCTATGCCCCTGAAACCCGAAATATACTACAGGGTAGCAACATTGTAGACTACATGTTAGAATCAGCAGAGAACTGGCATAAAATGTGCGCACATATCTCTGGAATTCTTAAAGATCTAAGGCGATCTGAACAAGCTAGAACAGGTTAAATAACGTAGCGAGCCTGCTGGCCAACCAGCCCCGTTAGGTAATACCTTAAATGGCAGTGCCGCGGGGAGAGTGGTTAGTGGAGAGGTTTTAGTACGCAGGTGTAGCTGTGAGGCTGCAAGTCGTGCATACTACTATTCCGGTATAGTAGTACTCATGAGAGTTCCCTCTTCACGGGCGTCATCCCAGAAAAAAAAAAAAAACACACATATATGGTATGACAAAATGCACTAATCACGCGCTGTGATTTTGATCCAAACTCAACATTTGAAAACACCTTTACATGAATGGCCAAAGAACGTAAATAACAAGAAGGGACAACTCGTTATAATTGTAGCGAAAGTCCGCAACAGGGGCGTGCCTTCTCTTTTGCCCTAGTGCGTTTTTTGATTGGATGAAAAGAGAAGGCGCGCCCCCGTTGCGCACTTTCGCCACAATTATAACGAGCTGTCCCTTCTTGTTATCTACGTTCTTTTGGTATGGCTGTAGCTGAGTGTGCAAAGACGCTTTATACAATTGGTTGCGGCCAAGAGGGTTCGGGTTCAATCCATCGACGGAACATATAAAATTATTATTTTTTCTTAATTACGAAAAAGCATCTTCACAACCACATATTTTATGACGTATATACTCAAATTTGAAACGAGTTGGTTTGGTGCTCTTTCATATGCGTATTTTTTTAATTTAGCACGTTTTTTTTTAATTCTAAAATTGTTTTCCATCAGTGTTGGAATGTGAGTTTATGACATTCGATACGATACTAGGGCTCTGGTACTCGATTCCAAAAAATATTGTTTTAAAACTGTCGAGTAGAAAATATCGGTATCGAATGCCAAAAGTATCGATATGGTATCGTATCGTATCGAAATTCGTGTCCCTAGGTAAGTAAAAAAGGCTGACTTCCAAAACGTATCAATACAATGTTTGGAAACTGTTATACTGCGGTATTCAAACTGTTTGTATATGCAGAGTTGCGACACAATAAAACCATATACATTGCATATTTTAAATATTCAATATAGCAATGTACAATTTTTCTGAATTTTCCATTTCTAAAACACCAATGCTAACCAATAACAAATAAAGCATCAACTTTGAGTCTGATGCGCTGATTGCTCGAGCGATGCGTTTCGATAACTTTTCGGCTGCGTTTTGGAACAGATTTACGTGATTTCCTGCCAACGGCTTTAACCACAGTGCCCTCATTTGGCACAACGGATTAATTTTTGCATTAATCACTGCCCTGAACTGCAAGCACTTCAGTACCAATTGGCAGTATGTGGTGGACACACTTACCTCCTTGGTAGGGCCGAGGCCTACCTAAACCTCTGACGTTCTCTGGATCACGACAATCCCATTGCAATGCAACTCCACATTGAACCATTGCTGGTTCTACCCGCATTTAGGTATTAAACCACAGCCACCACGATACTCCCCAAAGGGGCCGTACCCATGAACAGACCGGAGTAATGCTCGCCGGCGAGATTTGCTGGACTGGCTCAACTCACCCTGACCCACTTAACTGACTCAGCTCACACTAGAACGACTTACACGACTACTTCACTCCACATTCATACTCCGTCTTGCTCGTCTCCCAAGTCTAATCGCCTCGCTTGTGGGCACCCTCCACATCCAGGAGCGGTGACACCACTTGCTCAACTTTCGACCGATCGAGTTGTTCGACACACATTCACCATCTTGCTCCGTCTTGCTCATCTCACACGTCCTACTCGCCTCGCTCGTGGGCACCCTCCACATCCAGGAGCGGTGACACGGCTCAGCTTTCGCAACGGATCGAATTGCTCAACTTGCGCACAACTTTTGCACCATTTCCAGCGGTTTCCACCACACTTTTCCTCCAATTACAACTATTTTCACCATTATCTCCATTTTCATCATTTTCTCCATTTTCTAGTCGTGTAAGCCATGCCAGTGTTTGCCTTGCCAGCCTTGCCAGCCTTGCCAGCCTTGCAAGCCTTGCTTGCGTCACCAGTTTTGCTCGTCTCGCCGACGAACACACTCCGGGGGCATCTGTTCCCCGTGGCAGCATTTTTAAAGTCTTTGGTATGACTCTCGAAAGCCGTAGACTTCTTCCAGTTGAGCCTCCACCGACTCAGGACTGGTAGCCTTTGACTGGGTTACCCGGGATTGTGACACCCGTAGCTTCGCAAACGCGAAATCCCCCTGGGTTCGTTGGTACGGTAATCTCCACATCGGAAACTGCGTAAGCACATGTCCCACACAGGTTCCCATGCGAAGCATCCCTGTTAGTTCATGCCGACATGGAAACCCCTAAGGGCCCCATGCCACCACTTAAGGTCTAGCCCAGCGACAAGGACAGCAACGTTTCGCTAGACTGCGTTTTGGAACAGTATACATTGTTAATATTTTGTAGTCCGACGTTATGGAACCTTATACTTTATACGTGTGCAAAGCAATTGACGTTTTGGAAGTCAGCCAAAGCTTCCATTTGCCAAAAACACTACATTTTAAAAAGTATCGAAATAAAATACAATTTAATATTTTTATATATAAGCACATGATGTCAGAGAAAATACTTAGCGTCGGAAGCCGTTTTCAGCCAAAACAGACAAAAACTGAGCAGAAGAACTTCCAGGAGAAGTGGCTTCAAGTGCCAGAGTATAAAGATTGGCTGGCTCCAATTCATAGTGGCACTCATAAGGCTATGTGCAAGGCATGTTGCTGCACTTTCGCATGCGGTTTAAGTGAAGTACATAGATATCATAAAACGGAAAAGCATTGTACAAATTTACGGATTTTCCGCACAACACCCTCCACATTCAAATTTTTGCAACAATCTCCTGCTGAGGAAAGCAACGCAAGAAAAGTGAAAATCGATGAACTGAAGCTGGCTGCGTTCTTTGCAGATCACAATTAGGGTTGTTGTGGAAACCAAGTCAGATTGGTTTAACTGTCAGAATTACAAACCAATTCTGATTTTTAAGGGTGTCGCAGAATCTGATTGGATTTTCCTATACATACGTAAACCAATATTCGAATCAGCTGTTTACTTATGTGACAAAACCTGCAAATTTGCAAATTTCCAAAGTATTCTATAAATTTTAGATAATAGAACAAGTTTTAAAGGTCCATTTAAAAAAAAAATAATAAGTTTAAAATGAGTGCCGCTATTGTAGCTTTTATTTTATTAGAGGAAGAAAGCAGTGAACAAGTAAAACGGAAGTAATCCACTTGATGTCCCAGGGGAAACGTAAGTGTAACTTACCTTGCATGTAGATATTTACATGCCAAACTAAACTTATTTTATAGATTTATTACCCAATATCGATTAAATAAAGACGCATTTGTTATGGTTTTAAATGTCATAGCACCCCATTTTCAGTCCTCCACGATTCCGCCAACGATTCAATTAGCGGCAACTTGCGCTTTTTAGCAGAAGGAGCCTTCCAACGGGGAGTGGGACGTGATTCTAGCATCAGTTTGTCAAGAAGCACGGTGCGCAGACTTTAGCGCAAATTATGTGCCTCTTAGAGAACCACATTTGCGGCCAATGGGTAAAGTTATCTATGGATGAAAATGAAAAGTTGAGGTCAAGAAATCACTTCTTTGGAAAGTAGAAAATACCCGGAATATTCGGTTGCATAGATGGTACGCATGTAAAAATAATAAAGCCACCTAACAACGAGCATTTGTATTTTAACCGAAAGGGATATTTTAGTATAAATGCGATGATAGTAAGTATAACAAAATACTTACATATACATATGCACCTTTTATACAAACATATTAGGGGTATTCTCTGAGTCTTGGAAAGCCCTTGCATGGTGCACAGATTGCACGGATTGCACGGTTAAAACCGGTTTTCGTATGGGACAGCTTTGCAAACCGTGCAATCCGTGCACCGTGCAAGGGCTTTGCAAGACTCAGAGAATACCCCTATTTATTAATGTATATGTGTATGTGTTTTCTCCAAAGATTTGTGACAACGAAATGCAAATACGAGCAGTAGATGCGCGGTATCCCGGTTCAAGTCACGATGCTTTTATTTGGAGCATAAGCGATGCAAAACAATATTTTCGTGCACAATACGAGAGGTGATCGTTCATCAAGGTTGCTGGGTGATTGTGGGTATGGAATTGAACCATATTTACTAACACCTTATAGAGATGCGCGGTTTAACTCTAAGGAGCACAAGTTTAATATGGCTCATGCATCTGCGCGAAATATTGTAGAACGGACAATCGGAGTGCTGAAAAGCCGTTTTCGCTGTTTGCTAAGTACATTGCATTACCGTCCTGAAAAAGTGGTTAAAATTGCGAACGTTTGTTGCGCCCTACACACCATCTGCAGCCATTATAAAATTGAATGTAATCTAGAAGAGAACGTATTTTTCAAGTGCACCTAATGAGGACAATGAATTTTCATCGGATAGTGGAACAATGCAAAGCGAAGGCCGTAGAATAAGAGACGAAATTGCCAATACCTTGTAATTCAAGTAATTTATTAATTATTTAACTTTTTTCTACGAACATATATTTAAAAATAAAAGTCTTCATGACTAAATGAAAATAAGTCTTCAATTTTAAAACTAAGGCACTAAAAAGATAATTCACAACCACTTTCGTTATAGTACTATTCTTATGAGGTAATCACTTGTTTGCAGATTGCCTTTGGTGTTCAAACTTTAATATTTCAAGATCCAGTTGTTCTCTTTTAATCTCATTGCTTTCCCGTCTCGTTTTCCTCTTAATCCTCTTAAAATATCCGGATTTTTTTCCATAAATTCAATGATTATAGCATTTTGCGTTTTATTCTTATGTTTCCCCCTTTTTGAGAATTGTATAAAGAAAATTTAATACATATTAAGAAAATAAAATAACTTATTTACTTACATTGTTTCAAAGCGTCTAACAGCAAACCGAAATAATTTAAAACGCAATTTGAACGCAATATTCAAAATCTGTCATTGATGAGGTCCTTGATTTGTTTCTGATAGCAAAATCGATAAAATTGATTTTAATGACGCCGAAAACCGATAACAATTCTGATTCGAACATAAAACCGATATCAGAATTCATGACATCTACTACATTTTTTTATCGATTTCAATTCTGATTCCGACAACAATCAATTTACTGAACGATATTTTTGCAGATAATAATGTGGTATTAGGCAGAACCAAGAGCACGGCAATAAAAAAAAAAAAATGTAGCAAAATCTGAGACTGACGAATTGTGTGAAATTTTGCAATCAAAAAATGTTTCCATAGCCATTGATGAATCCACTGATTTGAGCAACAAAAAAATGTGTATCGTCGTCAGATATGCAAAAGATTCGCGAATCAATACGTAGTTACTTCCATGAACGAACGAATAAAGACCACCCAGGATGGCGTGCGAGAAAAAAGTTATTTTTTTCCAGTGACGTAATTTTTTTGCCGCCGTGTGAATGGTGAATGAAACGGAATGAAACCTGTGTGTGAATGAAAGAACCGATTAAAAAATTACGTCATCAACCATTATTTTTTTTCTCAAATACAATTACAAATATACGGTTGCTGTGCTGGGTGATCTTGTTAGTTGGTTCATGGTTACTTCAGCTAATTGAGCTTGACGCTACAGATTGCAGTGGCTTTGCAATGTGTACAGCAGCTAAGAAGTTGTTTGAAAAAAGAAATATACCATTGACCAACATTATAGCTATCGCAAGTAACAATGCCAGCGCAATGGTGGGATCGAAAAATTCTCTTTATGCGCACCTGAAGGTAGATGTTAGTAATATAATTTTAGTGAAATGTATCTGCCATTCATCAGCACTTGTAGTTAAAGCTGGCATGCAATTCTTACCTGATGAATGCGAAATGCTTGTCAGGCATGAAACTTTCTATAGTTCAAAAAGTCCAAAAAGCTGTGCAAATTTGAAGGAATTTCAAAAATCGTGTGATCTTTCTACAAATAAAATTATTTCCCATCTACAACTCGATGGCTTGTGATGCAGCCAGCTTTAGTAACACTATTAAGAAATTGTACTGCATTAAAATACTTTTTTATTTATGAAAAAGAATTCACGAACAGGACGAAAGCTGAAAGAATTTTGCGAAGTCTAGATAGGCCGGATATTAACATGTATTTGCTTTTTTAAAATATATTTTAATGTATTTAACGCTTTCTTTCCATCTACGGATCTATTAGTCCACAAACTGTATTCAGAGCCGAGGCAAATGTTAGCGCTTCTTTCAAAAATAGTTTAACTAACCATAATATATATATACATATATTCAGGTAAAGAAATAACATATGATCTTATAATTAACCCAAACACTGAACTTCTCCCTGATAGTATGCAATTTAATAGTGAGTTTTCGGAAAACATTGCTAAACTCGAAAGAGATCAAGCATTACAAATAAAAACTAGCTGTGGACAATTTGTTAAAACTTGTGTATTCTTGAAAATATGTAATATCAAATCCCTTAACAATTTTGCCAGTTATGTGAGCGTTATGCAGCGTTTTTGCTGCATTTAAAATGCAACATTTAGCACTTTCGAACATATGTTTTCGAAGAGCGTTCATGCTATCCGCATTTAGCAAATGTGCATTTACGCGAGTACAGCCGTGTTCCAGTCGCTTACTCAGATCCGTATCTATTACGATGAATTCTCACGCAGAAGATAATGTGCAAAAACCCTACTGAAAAGGAAAAAATAAATTTTAAACCAAAAATTCAATACAAAAACTTGAATTGTTTTAACCATAACCGAACATTTGTTTATGTATATTATTGATGTATGTTATTGATACAGATTTCCATCAGCATCACATCGATGTTGAATTTGCTTAACTTTTCTTTATCCAAATTATGTAAAATAATAAATGAAATCTCGATCGGCGATTACAGACACGCAGCTAGCCACTGTTTACGCGAAAAAGCAATGTTGCCTTTTTTTCTCATTAAACCATGTTCGAATCGTGGAAATTTTGGAAGATCACAGGGTTGCTTTTAGCATTTAGGTTCTTAATGCAAAAATGGAGTTGCATTTAGTTGTATTTAAGTGACGAATTTCGTATGGATAAATGTACATTTAGGCTTTCTGCACATTGGTCGTCCAATCATAGTTACTTCATCGTCACAATCATGATGAAACGATTACATGACGACTACACTTTCGCACACTCGGTCGTGATGTTTCAATTCATTTGGCGTCTAAAAATTCACTTGAAGCAGGTATTTCCTGTTTTTCTGGTTGATACTTTCGCGCAATATTTACAAAAACTTCCATTTTTAAAATATAGACTGTGCTGCAACAATTCTAGACATCATTTTTCAGTAATATCTCTTCTTTTCTTTTCCTGAAAAAAGTTTTGTGCATGCACACAGAAACTTTTTACAATTTCGTCATATTTGAAAGTTAAAACGCTCACATTTATTGAATCTTAATGCAATTATCCACTTTTTAATAATTTCCACAGATTTTATGCAAAAAATACTAGTTTTTATGCAAATATTCACCTTTTCACTAATTTTTCCCCATAAAACAAACAATGCGTGCACAACGATTAGCAAACGACAGTGCCATACTTATCCGTTGCTGCATCTTCTACGATTTGCCGATAACTAGCCGATAACGACAGGTGTGCAGATCTCCTTTGAAATGTATGTGCTCGGCTCAAAATTTCAGGGCGAGACGATAACGCAACTATGATTGGACGACAAGTGTGCAGATAGCCTTAGAGTAGCATTTAGAGCTAAATGCGCTAAATGTGCCTTTACGCGTAAGCAAAAACAGCCCATTAATTGCAATGAACTGCAAGATGAGTGTCCCACTCATATATTCTTTTAATAAAGCTGAAAAAAATTCATTTGTCAGCTATAAAGTTACTGACTTCTGGAAAGTCGTATCTAATAAAACAGCTTTAAACGGAGATAAACTTTTTCCAAATCTAACTATCCTTTTCCATTTTGAACGACACTAAAACTAAAAAA